ATGCCAACTATAAGATTTTGACCTTAAAACAGACATTGCTTGGAAGACCGGCATTGCAAGAGTTATGATAACCTTTTTTGGTACATTACCTAGGCTCAGACAAGCAAGGGTGGAAATGGATTTGCTATGGATCTGTCTGTAAGGGGAGTTGTTGTTGTTGAAGGATAATAATATTAGGAATGCAAATTATCCTACAAAAGCTGATGATATTTAAATATGATTTAAATTCATTTAGCATTTAAACAGAAAAGTAGAAAATGGCATTAAATTCAGATAAGGATGAGACTATGCATTCTGGAGTCAGAAATATTAAATACATCTACAGAATGAAATAGAAGGTCTGGCTGGTAATGGATTGTGAAAAGAGTTCAGGGTTTTAATAGATCATTCCTTCAGATCATCAGTACGGTAAAGTGGTAGTTAATAAATTATTTGACGTGTACATTTACTCATATATTCGAACTAGCTGTAATGAACAGGTCCTGTCAGCTCACCTAGATCCTTGCAATAGCTGCTAAATCGCTTGAGTGAGATTTAGTAACTCTGAGCAATATTGATGTCCAGAGTTGCAGGTAATAAATAAAGTGACATCAGGACTAGCTTGAGCAGAACATTGTGTAAGACCTTTGTCAGACTTGCGGCAGAGATGAAGCTGTTTGGCCCCAATAAACACTGCTGGGCATCAGTGAGCTCTTCCCCATGATTAGTTTTTAGCTGATGTTACCACCCCATGCCCTGGCATCTGTAATGGGACTCCTGAAGAACCCTTTGTCCCAATTTGTCCCCTACTCAATTCTGTGTACAAGCAGTTACCTGTTCCTCCCAGCAGGTATGTGGTATTACTCAGGTTGCACACAAAGTAGAGGAGGAGGATAGTAGAGTCTGAATGAGCTTTGGGCAGAAGAGAAGAATCGTCTTTCAGTGCCATTACACTAGGACTATCCTAGTGTTGGAGTGAGAATTAAGGACATAAAGAAGCTGTTCTTTTAGGTTTTACTGGAAATGTTTATAGCAGAAAAAGCCTGCCTGTTAAAATGATGCCAAATTATACAGGCACACCAGGCACCTTTTTTGTTATTCCTAGTTGTCCTCTGAACTTGGAGCTAGTTTAAACCTATATCCTTTCTCTTCCTCCCGCTCACTTTCCCAGCATGTGGTGTACATTATAATTTGTGAAGAGACTCATTAATTTTTTTTCTTTCTCCTTTTTTTAGGTTTCTGACAGATGTGACTATGTCTTTGTCAATGGGAAGGAAATGAAAGGCAAAGTGAATGTCATAGTTAATTTTACTTACCAGCATCTGAGTGCTCCTTTAGAAATGACGGTCTGGGTTCCTCGTCTCCCGCTACAGATAGAGGTCTCTGACACAGAACTAAATCAGATCAAAGGGTGGAGAGTCCCCATCATCTCTAGTAAGAGGTAGGTTTCATTAGAGGATGTTCATTCTGGGCTATGCACTTGCCAAAGACCTGTCAGGGCCAGTGGATCTGAATGCGCTCATTTGGCCTTAATGCAATTCCAGTACAAATTTGAAGGTCACCCAGGCATTTATTCAATAGGTTCCTGCACTGGACTTAAGAGGGAAATGGAAATTGCAGGTTGCATGATCCTACACTGGAAATCTGTTTCCTTTTATAGCGCCAGTGACTGAGAGAGAAAGAGCCAGTTGGTCAAGTTAGGCAGGATCAGTCATGGGGTCAGCAGGAAGACATCAACAAGGACCAGCTCTGGCAAGGCTGGTCAGTCTCCAGCCTGGTTCACAGGTCCTTCCAGTTAATTTATTCATTGATAATGATCACAATTAGTACATACTCGTTTCATATCACAGTCCAGTGGCACTGATCAGTGTCCCAAAGTCAGGAGACTGATACACTAGGGCTTTAAAGATACTGTCTGTGCCCACAGGTCAGTGGCATGTGGATGACAGGACGGAGGATGGATGTAGGCAGGTCTGGACTGTTTGTATCTGTTGTCAGTGTTTTTAAGAATCAGAAGAACAAGTTGATAAAGTAGGTACTTGCTGTTCCCACCTACCTATGAAGACATCATTTATCAACACGTTTCTGTTAGTATCGCAGCAAACAGATGGGAATTTTGATGGAGATGTGACTTCAACCTGAATGCCACACAGGAAGGGATGTGTATGCAGGTACAGACAGGGGAGATTTCCATGGCAACACAAAGAAGTTTATGGGAAGATCCAGAAAGAGAAAAGTGTGAAGGTCCTGAAAGTAAGGACTTAACATGGAAAATAACAAGAGCTATTTGGAGGGGACAATGTGATAGCGAAGCTAGCAGGCCAGTTGGTGATTTTAGCAACTGTTTCAAAGACGTAGACAGCCTGGAGGTCTCAGTTATGAACAAGGGAAACGGGATAAAAGTGGGCGAACCTGACTGATTTCAGAAATGCACTGAAGGAAGCAGCTTCAGCAGAGCAACGGGGGACAAACTAGGCTGCAGAACTTATGTTCAGCACTAGCTTGCCTGTTGCAAGCTCTCCCAGCACCAGTTTAAATTACTTTTTTGTTCTTGGTGTCTTCTACCAGACCAGCCAGAGACAGTGATGATGAAGAAGAGGATGAACGTAAGGGAAGAGGCTGTGCCCTTCAATACCAACACGCGATGGTGCGAGTCCTCACACAGTTTGTAGCTGAAGCCTCAGACCCCGGCAGCCAGCTGAGCTATTTACTGGGTTCTGACTGGCAGATTGACATTACCGACCTGGTGAGCGACTTCATGCAGGTGGAGGAGCCGAGAATCGCTAAGCTACAGGATGGACAGGTTTTGATTGGGCAGGAGCTTGGAATGACTACCATTCAGGTAGGGAAAATTAATTACTTATTCCTTTTCCTCCATTAACCCACCACCTTGGGAACTGAGGTACTGATGAGGTGTACAGCAGCTTTTTGCATTAGCAACAGAAACTGGAGCCATGAATTTTTGAGTGGAGCAGAATTGCAGCAAGGACTGGAAGACACAGAACAGATGGTTTTCTCTTCTTATCTTGTTCCCCAAAGTAATGTAGATTGCAGTTTTAGTCAATTTAGTCCAACCTGTATACTGGGCGGCTGTTTCTGATTATTTTTGTCTAAGGCTTTTTTGGAACCTGGAGCCAGTATACGGGCTATCACAAGGCATGCAGCTGATGAAACAGCTCAGTCTTCTCAAAGCCTACATTGACAGAGCAAAGGGTAGAGTAAAAATTAACTAGTGCTGATTGAGGAACTGAGACTGGAATGTAAGTCCCATGGGATCAAATCCCCGTGCACCTTGCAAGCTCAAGGGAGTATGTCACAAAATATAAACGTTAGGGTATGTTTCAGAATATGCACAAAGCAATAATAATAATTGGCACTTCCAGACTGATGTTAGGAGACTGATTGATTTGCAACAACTAAGCTATGTTCTCCAGGGCGCACATTTAGCTTCATCAGTTTCAGCCAATACGGCCAAGAATATGGCCTATAAATACCACTGTATATGTGGCTGCGCCTTAGTGTCCCCACTCTGGAGTAACTCACCTAAACCTACACATCGTGTCATTGGCAGCTTTTCACATACAGTTCTTCCTGCTGTGCAGAGAAACAGGGGCCCAGAAAATGGGGTCCCACAAGAAAAGAAAAGAAAAAAGAAAGCGAGAGACATTAATCCAGTGATATTACAAAGTAGAAAACCTGTTAGCAAGGACTGGGACAGGAAAAAAACCTTAGCTCTCCGAACACGCTCATCATCCCAAACTGTCAAACCAGAAAACAACCACCACACCTGTCGATAACATGGGTTGTCAGGGCTGGAGAAATGGGATTTGAGATTTTAACTTTCTGCAATATCTGTAAAGATATTCTGAATGACTTTCCAAAGCTCTGGGACTTACAAAGCACCAACAAATGCACATAAAACTGTGTAAAGAAGAATTCAAGGGAAGAAAACGGAGAGCAAGTTATATTTAAATACCTCTTATAAACAGCTTCAAAAATGTTCTGTACCCTATATGGATCATTAAATTCAACTTGCTTGCTAATGACTATATTTGGATGTCATATATCAGTGCACTGACCTCCATGCACATTTTTAAAACCAAAACAAGTTTTCTCTGTCAATTTTGTATACAGTACCATGAGTGGTTATCGTAGTGATACATTAGCCTTTCTATAGGATAGAAATAAATGCCATTTATTCAGTGGATTTTATATAAATCTACAGGTTGCATTATATATATGCTACCTAAAAATGCTATCATTAATACAATAATTGCATTTCACATAAAGATTACGTTTACAAATAGTTAATACATTTGAACCAAATGTGGTTAGCATACTGTAGGTGATGAATGGCATAGCTGATTACAAGTACGTTGGTAAAAGATGTCCTAAGCACCCTATTATTGCAGAAGAGTTATAAAATGTGACCATTTTATAAGCCGTTTTTTAATCATATTTTAATAGTGTCTGTCTGTGAACAGTAATTCTGCCCATTAACATAAATATCACTTATCTGTATTACAGTAGCTCCATGTAGCTATTTTGCTTGGTGCTATGCAAAATGGCTGTTGCTAACTTCGATTTTTCTTTTCAGATATTGTCCCCCCTTTCAGATGCTATCTTGGCTGAGAAGACGGTGACAGTTCTGGACGAGAAGGTGACAATAACTGACCTGGGAGTGCAGCTGGTGACTGGATTGTCGCTTTCTCTGCAGCTCAGTCCAGGAAGCAATAAGGCCATCTTTGCTACAGCAGTAGCACAAGAGCTGCTCCAATCTCCAAAGCAGGTACTATTGCCCACAGGTACTGTGTTGTGGAAGGACACCCCTCTGATTTACTCTACCCAACATTACAAGCTGATGGAGTCAAGCAGATTTTTATTAAAAATATGCTAATAAAACATTTTCCTTATGGGCACTTTTTTTTCTGAAGGCCACCAGGTGCCCTAACGGAAAAACAAAGATCTCACAAAAATGGCACTATGTCTAAAAAACCCGAGTCAACAAACAGGCATACCCCATCTGTCATGGCTGCATCCCATGAATAACATATGCAACTCAATGGTCTGTCATAATTAAGCAACAGAAGTCCTTTTACACACACACGCCCCCTTTGTGTCCCATCCAGCACCTACTAGATCACAGGACATATTGCCAGCTAGGTTGCCAAGTTCAGCCTCCCACCACAGGTATCCAAATCAACCCTTTAATTCCATCTTTAAATGAGAAAGTGTTTTGCATTATACCAAACTCTTCTTCCTTTCGTTCCTTTCTGTGAGCATTTTAAGAAGTTGGGGAACATCCCTTTCATTCTGATTCATTACTAGAATATGAATCAGCATCGACTCATTTCCTGATTCATGGTTTCATAAACCAATTTTTTTCCCCTTGTTATTCTTAGTTCCTATCTTAGGGAAGCCAACACTTACCAAGGGCTTTTGGACTTTGCCATGTCCCCATCAGTCCCTGCTCGATATTTGTCTTTGTGCTTCTGTCTGCATTTGAAATGTAAACTTTTTTTTCAACCCAAATCCATCAGCCTAGGACTTACATCAAGGATGCACTGGGCTCTTAATGCTTAAACATGTTCTGAGATTTAAAGGTAAATGATCATGACATGCACATATCAAATCTGGCCAACTGTTAAGATGCTTTAATTCATCATAGGGTCTTCTTCTTGGGGTGCAGGATGAGAAATAATGCAGATCTCTTTTTATAGGGTGATAAAAATCAGGCTCCCATAGTCTTCCAGGAGTTAAGAAATCAATGCCAGTCAGCTAGAAATAAGGCCAGTGAGCTAATCCATTGCTGATATGGAGAGTTAAACAAACTACCGTGAAATCAGCCCAAAAGCTGGACCTGATGGCATTTAGTCCCAGTGTGCTGCCCAGCACTGACATTTCAGTTCCCAGAAATGGAGTCTAGATGAGTCCCTCTCTGGATGCAGGGATACAGTCAGAACAGCATTGGATCGATATTAAACCAGCGAGGAAGGTGAGCACCTTCCACACTTCAAGGACTGACACTGTTTTGAAAAGCATCTGATTCCTTCCATTGCTTAGTACACAATTTTCAGAGCACAATCCCTATAAGCAAAGCAATGCAAAATTATTAAATGATTATGCAGGTTTAAGCAACACAGTGGGAGGATGAGAGTTGATGACATAAATTCTATGTGGCCTTCAAGAATCATCCAAAGATTAATGAACACAAAGCTGGGATTTGTGACAGTGTCAGCAAAGTCTTAGGGCTCTGTCCTGAAATAGAGACAGAAGCAAATCTCCTATTGTAGCACAGGGATCTTTGTGGCTGTAAGGATTTCAGAATCAGGCCAGTAGCTTATGCATGATACAATCCCAAAAGGCTTATTCTCTGTGAACTGAACAGGTGAATGACTGTGTGCTTAGAAACAATTTAGAAGATAATGATAAATATTTATTCTCTCTATATATGTTGAGTTAGAATGTAAATACCATCTGTTTGAAAAACTGCTTCTTTAAAGAAACAAGACTTTTATAATCATGCTTTCAGCAAGTACAGTTATTAATCTTTTGGTTGCGTGCTTGTCTGTCTGTCAGGCTCTCTCTCAGAGCAGGATGATCCCAACTCTTACCAGACAAGAGCTCATGTCATTTTAGACACCAAAGAATTTTAGGCATCAAGCCAGGAGTCTTTCTGGTATAGATTCTCCAGGTGCAAATATCCCAGCCAAAACAGAGCAAGTCAGGCCATCAAAAGCAGGGATTAGATTCCAGGAGAGCAATCTGAATTTAGTCTGTAATTTATTTATGTGTGAATTCCAAGATTTTTTCAATAGCATGACAATTTTTGATAGCCATTTGAGAGTCCTTAGGGGACCTGATTTTCGGAAATGGGTGAGCACATGTTTTCTGAAATCTAAGAATACTTTAAAATGTTTCAAGTTAGAAGCCAAAAGTCAAGGTTCCCAGGAATTCTGCACCATTACACATGTGCAAGTACAGAATTAGTACTCAGGTCTGACCCATTTACGTTCAATAAATGTCCATGCACTCTGAAGTATACAATCTGCATTGCTGTGACACAAGATTAAACTTCATTATTGTCTTGCTTTTAATTGCTAACAAGCATGAAAATTACCCTGGCCATTTCCTAAAGAAGCAACTGATTGGTTTCCTCTGCCTGTACAAAAAGTTTATTTAATCTGAGAGACAAAAATCAAGGACTGAAGGTATAGAGCCATGTATGGACCTACTGCTATATTAGGTATTTTTTAACATGTGTTGTGCGTAACAAGAGGAGACATTGTATTTTAAGCAGTTTAGAAATAATGTAATTTTTTTTTTCATTTAAATATACAACAGCAAATGATCTCAGTCACCGGTAATGCTTTCTGACATGCAATTTATTATGGTGCTGAAGTAGATTCTGCAGAGCCCAGGGGATACAGCTCCTTTAAGCAACTTTGGGGAAACAAATCTTATTATCAATGAGTGTATTAAACTAGTATTTCTCTTCATATCTTGGCAAGATATTAATGTTATTGCTCTCCCTTTTTATTTCTTTTCTGGTTATAAATGTTATATGGATCTTGTGAGGAGGAGGGAATAGACCAGGACAGAACATACTTCCCTCAATGTTTATTCTGAGTGGGCATTTATTTGTTTTATATATTATAGGAAGCAGCCATCAGCTGCTGGATCCAGTTCAGTGATGGATCTGTCATGCCCCTGGATATTTATGACTCCAAAGACTTCTCCTTGTCAGCTACATCTCTGGATGAGAAAGTGGTTTCCATTCACCATGACCCCAAATTCAAGTGGCCTGTGGTTGCTGCAGAGACAGAAGGCCAGGGGACACTGGTGAAAGTAGAGATGGTGATCAGTGAATCATGCCAGAAATCCAAAAGAAAGAGCATCCTAGCTGTCGGAAGTGGTAGCATTAAAGTCAAGTTTGGGCAGAGTGATGCCAACCCTAACATCAGTGACAGTAAACGCAGGGGTGCTGGTGTCCACCTAGAAAATCATGCCAGTGACCGGCGTCAGAAAACCACTTTGCAGGAAAGATCTGGACTAGATGGCCAGTATTACAGCTCCTCAATGGGCCATGAGCAAGGCAAAGGAACTACTACTCAAAGGTCTATTTTAAGCAAAAAAGAAGACAGAGAAAGCCTCCTGGATGATGACAGTCATCTGCAGAACATCCCAATAGATTTCACGAGCTTCCCTGCACAGGTGGATCTGCCAAGGAACAATGGAGACTTGGAAGAGAATGACCTAGTCCAGACTCCTAGGGGACTCAGTGATCTGGAGATAGGAATGTATGCTCTTCTGGGAGTCTTTTGCCTGGCAATTCTGGTCTTCCTTATCAATTGTGTCACTTTTGCTTTGAAGTACAGAAACAAACAAGTTCCCTTTGAAGAGCAAGAAGGCATGAGCCACTCTCATGACTGGGTTGGGCTAAGCAACAGGACAGAACTTCTGGAGAATCACATAAATTTCTCATGCCAACAAGATGAACGTATTACAGCCATTGACAGAGGAGTGGACTATGAAGAGAGCAAATATCTCCTCAACACAAATGCCACCAAAAATATTAATGGACAATCTTTCAGATCTACTGAGTCCACATTCACTGAAGGGAAAGAACAGAAAAGTGAACCAACTACTTCTCCTACCTCTAAGAGGAAACGGGTTAAATTCACCACCTTTACCACCATCTCCTCTGATGATGGGTGTCCAACTGTCAACTCAATCTTGATGAGTAGTGAGGATGACATTAAATGGGTCTGCCAGGATATGGACCTGGGGGAATGCAAAGAACTTAAAAACTATATGGAGAGGTTACATGAGAATGTGTAATGAGACACAAAAGACTTTTTTGTTTGGTTTGTTTGTTCCTTTGTTTTTCACTCACCTTCTGCCTTTAATTTTGGGTACTGGGGCAAAATGTTGTATTGATAACAAGAATCAGCTGGTGGATAATAACTCAATGGAGCCCCAAGAAGCCACCCAAAAGCAGCTGGGAGAGCAGAGATCCTGGACAGCTCTTAAAATTCAAGTCTTCTCTGTGCTTAGAGATGGAAGTGAGAGATGTGTGTGGTTTTTGATGCATGGTAACATGAAAAAAAACTTAGCAAAACAATATGGTCTCATTCTCTGAGCTTTCCCAAGTAATCAATAAATATAACAAACTCCAGTGCAGTTCGGATATTACAAAGTTCACAGAGCTCTACTGTTCAATATTGCAAGCTTTGGTTAAAAGAAAAAAATTGGTCTCAGAATAAGTAAATCCACAAAGAGAGCATGTCATTCAAGCCATGTGCAGAGAATATCCATCCAAGAACATTAATTTAAAGCTGACAAAAACCAACAGTGTGAGCAAAGCAGCTCCCACAGCTGAAAAGTCATGAGTTTCCAAAGAATTTGGAGAGGAAAAAAGAGTAACTGGGCTGTTTACAAATCAGCACGTTTGCCTCCCAAGCACTGAGAATGGATACACATATACAATTAAAACTGAAACTCTCTTTTTAAGTAGATGCCAAGGTAATAAACTTTGCCAGCCAATTTTCAATATTTCTTAATTTGTAAAATAGGAGAAGATCTAATCTATACTGAGAATATCACTCATATAAAGGAAGGTCTGTTTTGGAAAGTTTGAGAGAACAAGCTATTTTTAAAAGCCCACTTTTATTTGATTGTCCTGTATCAAATTTGTATTCCCAGCCATTTCCCTGGAGTGCTTCCCCATCTGGTATCCTGAGGGCACTTACTAGCATCAGTCAACTTTGGAAGCGTGTGGTTTCGTCCTTCCCTTCCATGCGCACTCGCTTCTCCATGGTGTGTTCTTGCCAAGCACAGACACTGTTGGTACCACACTGGTACTTGCTTTACATGCTGTCATTTACCAAAGTTGGCCACTCTCCCTTGGGTAAGTGTAACTTGTGCTGAACTCAGACACCAACAGCAACGGCCTCTTTGTCCAACCCATTCCCTGGGAGAGGTCAGGTTGTTCAGTTCCTTCTGCTCATGCTTCTTTAGACCCCTGCTCAGCACGTTTAGAGGGCACTCACGGGTCACAGGGAAGTGCTGCACATTCAGCGTTGAAACCTGAACAGCTAAACTCGGAAGATAACATTTGTTTTTCCCAGAGGTGATGATTATCTTTTGTTTTTCTCTGATAAGGATGTACATATGGTAGGATTTCAGTGATTACCCTTTGAATCCGATGTGCCCTCCAGCCCTAAAACTGTGACATTTTTTGTGAGGTCCAAAAGCAGTCTCCAATGACCAGTGGCAAAGTGCCAAAGCACTAACCAAAATGCAGCTTGTATTTCCAGTTTTCCTTTCCAGAGTGAGTCCTTGCCCTCCTTTTATTATTAAGTCTCTTTCTGTCACTCAATCTAGGTTGCTCAGTTTAATACACACCCGCCCTCCCACAAACACTTAGATTGAATCCCTCTATATTTAGAATGTACTGTAGATTGTAAGAATGTAATATATATTTATAAACATGCCAACTGTGAATAAAATTTGCATTTTAGTGGCTTCATCTTTTCTCCTACTCTGAACATCTCTTTCCTTTCACTGTCAGAACGTTTACCCTAAAAGAGACTGGCAGCAATATGGAGACTTGTCCTTTGATGAAACGGTGAATTAAGGCTCTTGGCGCAATCTCGTCGCAAAGTATTACATTGTGCAGTGTTGGGAGGAGAAGATATAACATCAACAACATGTTATGCTACAAATTTATTTGCACTAAGTCACGCTTCCAAGATTTGAAACTATTTGCAAATACATCCACGTGCATATTTCTGGCCTGAAAACCTGAATATGTGAGTTTCTGATTTTGGTGCTATTGGGAAGATTCACATTTGGCTAAATGCCTTTGAAGACAATTTTAAGAGAGTAAGTTGGTTTAAAGAGGGCAAATGTGCCCAAAACTTTGGAGATCAATATTTGCACATCAGATTGTCTGTGCTTTCTTTCAGCACCTCTCATCAAGGCCTTGATTACTCAGTCGTATGCAAGGTCAAGGACAAAGTGCAACAGTGAGGACAGCACAGCACAGTGCAGGGTGCAGACTAGCTCTGGATGAGCGCTCAGGTGAGGGAAGCAGCCTTGGTGCCATAAGAAAGCACTGCAGCCTCCCAGCAGGTTCAGCCGCGTTCTAGCCCCCAGCCTTGCCTGCAATTCTGGAGCTATTTTGGGTGCATTTTACATATCACTACATTGTGTCCACAGAGATTTACCTTTAGTAATGTGGAGGTCAGGGTGAAAGTGGCCAAATCTCAGCTAGCAGTCTGTGCAGATCAGATGCGTGCATGCGTGCAAGGTTGCCTTGCGAAAGCGTCACTGCACAGCCAATCTTTCTCCTTCAGAAAGAGCAGGTACAAGCCACACTGGGAGCAGGCTGTCAGAATTGCTTTACCAGTGAGCTGCTATGGTAAATCCAGATTTCTGCGTTAGCTGCCTCTGGGGAGCATGAAGAACTAACAGCAAGTTCATGTGGTAGCACAAACCACTGAAATGTTCTCCTAGGACAAAACAGACGTCAGCTACAATGCTAAGGATACTGACATTCAGATTTATGCCTTTTTGCTTGCTTAGAGGTCCCTGCTGTCTCTAACAGCTGTAGCTTGCTATTGTCCATAGGGCAATCCTATAAATAATACCTAGCATTTAGAGTGCTCTGTGTCCATAGATCTCAAAGTGCTGTGAGCAAGGTGGATTCCTTTTTGACATGGAGAACATCAAGGTTAAGTGATTTGCCCAAAGTAACATAGGAAATCTATGGCAAAACCAGAAAGGGACATCACTCCCACACCCACACTTTAATGTATCGCTGTCACTGGGCAGGATCCTGAGCTCTGCTCAAGGAGAAGCCAGAGTGAATTGTGACCATCTCTATGCAAGCAAATACTCTTAATTAATCTGCTAATAGCAGAATAAATCAACTTCCTGTAGAGATATTTGTATCTATCTATCTGTTGGGGGGGGGGTGTTTGTGTATATTCACTTTTCTCACAGCACAGGGCACAGGTTTTTAGTGAGAGCTTCTGCACCATGGAGCATCTCAAGGGGGAAAGCTTGTGTTTCAGGCAATGAGATGAGAATCCCATTTGGCAAATGAAGGGTGCTAAATTCTGTTTCCCATCATAAAAGAAGTGATGGCGTTTAGATGCTGCATACACATAACATTTTGCAGCTGTGGCTCCCATTGGCAATCTCTTAAGCCTGATAAAGAGCCTGGCTGATAGCAAGCAGTCTCCTGTGAGTGTTATTAATTACCTTTTTTTTCCCCATTTGCCTCCTTATTTTCATGTTTGAGTCTCTTCGTGTGAGTAGCTAGACTGATACAGGCATATTAACAAAAGAAAATGTGTTTGATGCAGTTTGGCTTTTTTTAGACACTTCATGCATAAATACAATGAGTAGAATCTTGATGGTCCTATAAATCAGGTAAGCTGGTTCTTTATTGTCTTCTTTCATTTTAAAGGCTTCCCCTTCAGTAGTCTTAAATATACACTGGTTTAGACCGAGCTGCGTTAATACACCAGTGAATTCAAAGTCTGAACAATGCAGCTAACTAATTGGTTTGAAACAAGAGTTCTATGGAGGTAAGTGACTTGAAAAACCAGAATAGGTATTAAATTGATGTGCAGCCTGCACTAAGTAGCTCTAGAAACTACTTCCACACCTCGTTTCCATAATGAACGAGATGTAAATGAAATGAGCACACTGGAGACACTTTAGTTCAGGTCTGTGTATGTTCAGCTTCTCCAAGACTTCCTGCTGTCATCCCCCTGTGGTCTGAGTGGCTGCTGCTTTGTGGAAGATACTTAGCAAGAGCTAAAGGACTTGTGTTCTACAACTTAGAAGAGTCTTTCACATGTGTCACTTCGGAGAGAGTGTCAGTTGGACTTGCATATGTACTGATCAAGCAAAGTCCAGTAAGCGTCACTGAGGAATTAACTCAAGGAAGGAGCTATCACTGCCAAATGTTGTGTTTGGAAAATGCCTCAAGTATTTAAAAAAACTCTTAGAGATTAATTTATTTAGTCCTTGAAAGCCCAGGAACTCTGTCACATACTTCTGTATGTTTATTGTAGTACCATATTCTATCCATGCACAGCGTTGGAGCACTGCAGCAGCACAGGTTATTGCCTATAGTACAATGCCTCCCACATGAAATCAGTTCGATGTTGCTACCAGCCCACACTATCAGAAATACACAAGATAATGTACCTGTTTGAAGTAGGAGAGGCTTGCGTCCTGCAGGATGGTTACACGGACGGTGCCAACCTGAGCTCCCCACACAGGGGTCGCAAGGCTAACCCTTCTTCAATGCGTGTCTGGCTCCAGAACAAGCTGCCTCCTGAGGATGGGTAGGAGACCAAGAGAGCTCTAAAACGAGTTAGGACTTGCAAAGTTGCTCAGAAAGTAGGATTTGTGTTCTGCTTCCAATTAGTTTCTCAGTGTTTGAAAACTCACGGAAGGGGCTGCTTATGCATTTAACATCAGGCATATGTTTAAGCACCTTTCTGAATGGGTGTTGGGTCTCTAACAGCCACTATCTTCCTCGTGCATAAATAATGCCTCTTTCCTGTGAAATTAATGAGTATTATTGTGCTGTTTGGCTTCTTGGTGAAAGCTTTAATAGATGAAGTTCAAAAGTGGCAGCAGTAAGGGCCCAAGGAGAGCAGAGTGCCTGGTACATCGTCCCATAATCAGGAGTGTTAGAAGGGCCAAGGTTACACGAGTCAAGCAAGTACGCCTGAAACGGGATCATTTCCTACCTTTTTGCTGATTTGATATGAAGACCTCTGTCAACAAATCCTTCATTATGCAGGCTTCCTGCT